CCCCATTTTGCTGTGGGGACTCCGAGAGCGTCCAGAACTGTGTGATGCCATGCTCGCCGCAGAACCCGGCAAGCACGTCAGAGCGAAACTCACCCCCACGGTTGGAGTCGATACAAAGGACACGACTACCACAAGTGCCCTCAGTGGCCAGGAGCCACCAGATTAGTGTAGAAGTCACCTCGGACTTCTTCGCTAGAGGAAACACCGTGGAGTATCTGGAGTAGTCGTCAACGACCACCAGAAAGTAGTGCTCCCGCTCGGGCCCAAGTCGAGGGGCTGGGCCCCAGACGTCCAAGTGGAGGGACTGGAAGGGAGCGGTGGCAGGACGAGGGGAGGAGGAGTGAGGAGTGCACGAAGGCACAGGCGAGGGAGAGAGCGATGCAAAGAAGCATGGGAAGCCCGAGACAAAACGCTGACTAGCCATGCTGCGGAGGCGGGGGAGGAACGGGTGACCAAGACGGTGGTGCCACAAGACTGTCGGGTGGGTGAGTGACCGACCAGAGCAAAACGCAGCGACCTGACAGGACGCAGTAACCTGATCGGACGTTGCTACATGGGGGGGCGCAATGTGCATAACGAAGAGACCTGAGTGGGGTTTCCTGGTGAACGTGGCAAGAAGTGTCAGAATCAGCAGTAGAAAGTGAGAATGAAGAAAGGAGGGGGTTCACTAGCAAGCAGTTGAGTACATATAGGAAACCCTAGATTGGGCTGTACTCGCTATAGAGTACCCCACTGCAGGCTAGACATATACAACATTCTGACACACCCCCATAGCCAAAGTGGGGTGTAATCAGCACAATGAGCAGGTATAGCAGGAGTTCACAATAAGAAGCAAAGCTAGAGGTAATCACAGCGGGCAAGTGAGGAGGAGGAGGGACTGTGAGAGGAGAGAAGATGAGAGACGGCGGCTGAAGCTGCAGACACACGGGCAACAGGAGCTGCTGGCACAGTGGCTACCGGGACAGTGCGCCCCGGACTACTGGAGAAACTGGCTCACGGGCTACGACGAGCTACAGGAGCAACGGACCCTCGGGCGACAGGCGCAGCAGACTCTCTGGGCTACCAGGACAGTGCGCCCCGGACTACAGGTGCTGCGGACGACAAGAGAGCAGCCTCCGCACAACCTCCTCCAACTGTCCCACACACCCCCCACACACCCACTGCTTCACTCCTAACTCCACTTGCACGCCACCCCCCTAGTACCACTCCTTCGGCTCCCACACACCCACCCCCCTCAGCGGCAGCTGCAGCACTGGGAGACGGAGGAGGAGGAGGAGTAGGGGACGACGCACAGAAACTGCACCCCCATACCCCCCACCCCCAAACCCTAATTCAGGAGAACGGGCAGCAGCAGGGGTGGGGCGCCGTCAGAAGCACGGGGGACAGCGGGCAGCGCAGGGGCAGAGAAAACAGGGCGCCCACGGGCCTGGCGCAGCCCGTACGAACCGCGTGCGGGCGGCCCGAGGCGCGCCCTGGCCTGGCGCAGTCCGTACGGGCCGCGCGCGGGCCTGGCGCTGCCCGTACGGGCCGCGCGCGGGCCTGGCGCAGCCCGTACGGGCCGCGCGCGGGCCTGGCGCAGCCCGTACGGGCCGCGCGCAGGCTGTACGGGCCGCGCGCGGGCCCTACGCAGGTCGCGCAGGCCGCGACGGGCGACGGGGGGCGACGCGCGGGTCCCCGTCGCCCGTCGCAGCGCCTCCCGGGAGCGACGCGCGGAGTGACGGGGCAGAAAGCCGCCGCGCGCCTCGGGGCGCACGGCGGGCAGAAAACCGCCGCGCGCCTCGGGGCGCACGGCGGGCAGAAAACCGCCGCGCGCCTCGGGGCGCACGGCGGGCAGAAAACCGCCGCACGCTCCGAGCGCGCGGCGGGATGAAAAATCCGTCGCACGCCACGGGGCGTGCAACACACAGAGTAGCAGTAGCAGCGGAAGCAGTGAGGTGGTGGGCCCACCCACAGGATCGACCCAAGGGGATCGACCTGCTCTGATAGCATGTCAGAATCAGCAGTAGAAAGTGAGAATGAAGAAAGGAGGGGGTTCACTAGCAAGCAGTTGAGTACATATAGGAAACCCTAGATTGGGCTGTACTCGCTATAGAGTACCCCACTGCAGGCTAGACAAATACAACATTCTGACAAGAAGTGCCACGGGGAAGCATCCGTACAGGTCGCCGTCCTCCTGTGCGCAGGAAAATTGATTGTGATCCCACGGTCCTGAAGGTATCCAACAACCCACCAAGTTCCGAGAGAACGAAGGGATGTAAAAAACTAATAAGGAAACCAGAAGGGACAGCCAAGCACGGGAGAGTGGTAGAGCTGCGAGCAACTGCTGGTCCTGAAGTAGGATCAGCCAAGGCAACTAGGACTGGAGCAGAAAAAAGGTGTGACAGTGATGTGGTTGCGGAAGAAGCACTGAGACGCGCCTGAGTCCAGCGTAAGGAGAGCGACGGGACAACAGTCGTCACGGCTGGACTAGTGACTACACACGCACCTACATTGAAAGTACAAGTACCTACACTAGCAACAGGCAAAGGTCCTAAGCTAGGTACACGCAAGCCAAAAGATCCATACGCTGATAGAATAAGCAGCATCCATTTACATATCAAACACATGATAACCACTACGAGTCAGACCGGGCCAGATCGGTGGCCTCGAGTCAGGCCCAAAACGTTCACGTTAGAGGTCGTCGAGGCGACTGTAGCAGCGCTGTGCAGAGTGGTCAGGACGCCAACAGGTAGTGCCAGCACCAGGGCCAGTCAGGATCCGGTACTGGCAGGGGCCGATGTCGAGGCCACCGCGACGAGCCCCCCAGCTGGCTGGGCCACTGCTGCACCTAACTCTACCCGAACCACCAGCCCCTCACTGCTCCTGAGGGCGCCACTTCTGAAACCGCTATTGCTGCAGCCCCTGCTGCTGGAGAACTCTAGTGGACGCCATGGTAAAGGCTAGCTGGGCGTAGCTAGAGCTACACACGGCCAGAATGAGGAAACGCCAGGCTAAGAACTACCGGCGCTAGGAGCAGCTGGAGCGTGGAGCGGCTGGAGCTAGAAGTAGCTGGAGCTAGAAACGGTTGGAGCAAATCACGGCTGGAGCTAAGCACGGCTGGAGCTAAGAGTGGCTGGAGCTAGGAGCGGCTGGAGCAAGGCACGGCTGGAGTAAGGCACGGCTGGAGCAAAGCACGGCTGGAGCTAGGCACGGCTGCAGCTAGGCACGGCTGGAGCTAGAAGTGGCTGGAGGTAGGAGCGACTGGAGCAAGGAACGGCTGGAGCTAGGAACATCTAGAGCGATACTAGGAACTATCGACGAATAGACACCAGCCGAGGAACAGTTGGCTAGGCAAGCGGGCTAGGAACGCCAGTCAGGGCATAAAACCGAAACTACGCCAGGAAAGGTGACTGCGGCTGCCCGCCGCTGTTAGGGATGCCAAAGGCAGGAGGCGTGCACGAGACAATGGGCACTGGTGGGGCTAGCACTGCTTGTGGCTGTCGGTGCTGGTGCTACTGGCACTACTGGTGTCTGGTGGTGGCGGCAGCAGCAGCTGCATGCGTATTTGTTGCTGTCGAGAGGGACTGTATGCGTGTATAGGCGGCTGTAGGCGGTTGTGAGCTTCAGTGGGTGGCTGTACGTGGCTATGGACGGCTAGAGGACGGCCACAGGCGGCTGCTAGCGTTGCTGCTGTAACCGTTAGCGCTGCTGCTGCGCTGCTGCTTGCATGGCTGCTGCTATGTGCGCGGCGGCGTCTGCTGTGCGTGCGCTTCTGCTGCTGTACGCGCACGCAGCTGCAGCTGTCCTTGAGGTTTGCCGGTGCTGTACGCATGTGCAGCTCCTGCTGTGCGTGCGCGGCTGTTGCTGTGCACGTGCGCGCAGCTGCTGCTGTGCGTGTGCGACTGTTGCTGTGCACGTGTGCGCAGCTGTTGCTGTGCATGGGGCAGTGGCGCGTGCGGCTGCTGCTACGCGTGCGGCGACTGCTGCGCGTTCAGCTGTTGCTCTGCGCGTGCGCGGCTGCTGCTGCATGCGCGGTTACAGATGCGTGCGTGGCTGCTGTCGCGTGCGGGACGGATCGCAGCGTGCGCAGCTGTAGCTGTTCGCGCGCTGCCTATGTCACGTGCGCGCCTGCTGCTAACTAACGTGCTTACGCGTGACATAGCTGGCTGGGACGTGCATCCTGGCAGCCTAGGAGGGACGTGACTGCTGGAGGGGAGGGAAGCTAAGGACTTGGGCGGATTAGGAACTATGTAGGCCCAGGAACTTAGCATGTGATACCATCTCAAAGATAGCAAGCGGAAGTGAAGATCGACTAGTAGAGCAAGAGGTACAAGTAGAAATGTCAATGGAAAATGTGTACCCTATAGTGTGCAACTCACTGTAGCCTAGCAAACTAAGAAAACATAGAAATATTACCGTATTTGACATCCTGTGGCTCTTTGTTTCAAGGGGTGGCATATCCAGGGTCCCGTAAGTTGACTCGCTAAGAAATCCAGCCCAACAGTCCACTAAAATATCAAAAGAGCAGCACACTAACTATGAGAGGATAGTCAAAATAGGTACTACCGGAAGTTTGGCCACAATGGAAAGAAACGATACTATGCACTCTAATCAACAGGAAAGGGAGGTGTTAGGGCAGGAGACGGAAAGGGTACCGTAAGAGAGGTCAAAAGGGGGAGAATGGGAAGGGAAGAAGGGGGACCGGGAGGGAAAGCAGAAAACCCTTAACTACTTGTTGCCCAGAACAAGAAGGGTTCAACTACAAGTCCAGACCATCCGATCGGATCCATGCAGCCTTCCAATTCGAATTGAGATGTTAAAGCTAAACATCTTGAGGTGGAACCTCAGTCTCTTCAGTCCACAAACGGCACTGAATAGACATGGGCTTCCAAGCTCCATTGTTCCTGATGAGAGAAACGAGAAGATTCAAAGAAAGGCAATCATTTGAAAGTTCATGCATACGATTCAGAATTATGGCACAACTACTGGGCGTTGAGGTTAGAGACAAGTTGGAGGGCAGACTAGGGAGGAGAGGGAGAGGGAGAGAGGGAGAGAGGGAGAGAGGGAGAGAGGGAGAGGGAGAGAGGGGGAGAGAGGGAGAGAGGGGAGAGGGGGAGAGGGGGAGAGAGGGAGAGAGGGGGAGAGAGGGAGAGAGGGAGAGAGGGAGAGAGGGGGAGAGGGGGAGAGGGAGAGGGGAGAGGGGGAGAGGGGGAGAGAGGGAGAGAGGGGGAGAGAGGGAGAGAGGGAGAGAGGGGGAGAGAGGGGGAGAGAGGGAGAAAGGGAGAGACTCACAGAATGGGCACGTCATTGCCAGGGGGCGCGTCAGAGCTGCGTGGGACCCCAGTGCAAAAGTAGGTGAAGTAGAGGTCGATGGACGTGCATCGCAGGTTCGACCCCGGCGCACGAAACAGCAGGCCCACCGACTTGCTGTTGTCGGTATGTTGACACACTTGTTCGGCTTGAGCCGGAAGACATATGGAGGATTCATTCCGCCCAGGTTCAGGGAGCTGTAGATGCTGATGGCCACGTCAGCCATGTCAGGAACGACTCCTACAAATCACGTCAGGTGATTGGACGCAGGGGAGTGGTGGAGCGGAGAATCCGATCAGGCAGAGAAAGAAATCAGACTGCAAGGAGATTTCTGGCACTAGATGCTTGTTAGAAATGATGGTGAAGCAGCAAGCGCATGGTAAGTGGTAGTACTACCCTGCTGATAGCACGGGGCATGCGCAGCCTGCGAGAGCCGCAGTCCCCACCTGGCAGGCAAGCACCAGAGCGCTGGTAGAAGCCCGGTGTGCAGTAAGGGTATGACATATTATAGACGCCAAAGGTACCCTTAAGGCAGTCCTTGCATTGACCTTCTCCTGTAGGCAACATGGGTGTTGAGGAAATGATGGAAGACATGAAATTGGTGACTTTGTGCAGAAGGAAAGACGACAATTCTCGAAAGAGGATAGGTAATAACGGGTTGATTTACGTGGGAGAACAAGGAAGCAAGAGCGGGAAACGGGAGGTGGGGAGGAACGGGGAGGAAGGAGGTGATAGGATGGGGAGAGAGAGAGTATGGAAGATGTGGAAAGGGAAGAGTGAGATAGAGACGGTGGCACACCAATGTAGGCACACATACCAATGCATGAGCCTGTCACCTCCTGCTCGTAGCCTTTAAGGCAATCACAATACGGCTCGCCGTTAGACAGAATGGTGCAATGGCCACCCCCACACTGCTTGATGGTGCACGAATCTGCATGAAGGAAAGAATGAGCACACCGGTGTTATCAGGAGTGTGCATGCATGAAGCCATGCTGTGCAGGAACGGACCAATGAGAGCAAAGGACATCTCGTGCATGTGACGTTGGACAGGGGAAGAGAGAGGGGGAGCGAGTGGGAGAGAGAGGGAGAGAGATGATGCCTTGTTGTTATGCTGCTATTAATACGAAGGACCATTCGAGGGAGAGAGAGATGGAGCGAGAGGGAGAGAGAGAGGGAGCGAGAGGGAGAGAGAGGGAGAGAGATGCGGGGAGGATGACTTAGTGGAGGGGCAGGGTGACTTAGTGGAGTGGCAAATCATGAGTCAATGCACGTGTGCAGCAGGGACTCTGCATGAATTTCCTCCCATGCTCCACTCCACTCCACTACATGACATGGCGACACTCACCAATGCAGTAACCGTCGACCATGGTGGTGCCCAGGGAGTCGCACGTGCACACGGCATAGGAGCTGTTCTTCATGCTGCACTTGGAGTTGGGCGGGCATGCCGCCGTGGCACACAGGTCCGTCACAGGCGGCTTCACGGCCGCCAGACACGAGAAGGACCTGCCCGTCGCCACCACGCCCGCTGCCTTCCTGCACTCCGTGCCACCAGCCACCACAACACACGCAGAGACACGATTAGTGCAGGCAAACACAACACAAGCAGAGCCAGTCGTCTCAGGAAAAGCAGAGACCACTGCCAACTTTGCGGGAGTGGGTTGCTGTGGCACTCACTTGACGCTGGTGGTGGCGTAGTTGAACTTGTCGGCCTTGGCTGCAGTCCACTTGCCGGGAATCTCGTACACAAATGAGGAGCCGGAGCAGTCGGTCTTGTCCCAGAACACGAGCTTGCCGCACACCAGGTGATCCACGGCGCCGTCATTCACGTTCCACATGATCCACAGCGACCCCACCTTGCCCTTGAACTCTCGCGGCAACACCCTACACACCGACGAGTTGGGTGCCGGGGCGCGCAGCACAGCGGGTGCGAGCGTGGCGGGCGAGTTGGCGAAAGAGGCGTTGTTGTAGAGAACGACGCTCGTGCCCACCATCTTCAAGCTCATGCCGCCCAAGCACGCGCCGTTGATGATGCCCCCGCCCAGGCACTTGCAAAAGGGGAAGCCGCCGCTGTCCACCACGCAGAAGGCTCCCGTCGGGCAGACCACGCCAGCGGGGCATGTGGCTGGAGGAGGGGCGGGGGGGATGGGGAGAGGCACGCACGTGAGGATTAGTACTGGCGTCACGGGGAGACTAACTCTCAAAACAGTTTGGGATGGAATGGGCATGGGCAAGCTCCTGCCCCGCTGCCCAGCGCCCGTGCGCGCCCCGCTACCCAGCGCCCGCGCGCCCCTGCCCTGCTAGCGCTGCCCGCGCCTGCCCTGCCCGCGCGCAAGTGTCGCTGCTGCAGCTGTCGCCCACTGCTGCAGCTCCCGCCCACTTGCCGCCCTGCCCCGCGCGCTGCACGCACGCGACTGCCCTGCCCAGCCTGTGCACAGCGCGCTCTGCCCTGCCATAGGTGCTGCTGCCCTAGGTGCTGCCGCCTATTGCTGCTGCCCTAGGTGCTACCGCCTGCTGCTGCCCTAGGTGCTCCCACCTACTGCTGCCGCCCTAAGTGTTGCCGCTGCCACCCTAGGCACTGCCGTTTGCCGCCCTAGGTGCTACTGCTGCCGCCCTAGGTGATGCCGCCTGCTGCTGCCCTAGGTGCTGCCCCCCTAGGTGCTGCCGCCTGCTGCTGCTGCCCTAGGTGCTACTGCCACCCGCTTGCGCTGCCCCGCGCTGCCCTGTCCCGCGCTAGCGCCGCCTTGCCCCGAGTGCTGCTAATGCTATAGCCGCCGCGACTGCCGCCTTTGCTCCTGCTACTGCCCTTGCTACTGCTACTGCTGGCGTTACCGCTGCTATGGCGACTCCCACTGTGCTAGCCTTCGACGCAGAGGGGCACCCTATACAGTTTGAGTCTTGGCTAGAGGGTATGCACCAGTACCTCCAGAGTGTCACTCAGGACAACGCCTCCCTGTTCGAGCACACGTCGGGGTCCCTTCCGCCCCCCGCCATTGGTGCTCTCCCACCCAGTCCTCAAGGCGTGATGAGCAACATAGTCAAAACGTCAACTTAGAATACAAGAGAGGGCAGAATGTGCCCGGTCCACGCCCTGGCCAGCACCACGTGGTGAGGAGGTACGTGATGGTATGGTGCATACCAGGCTTGATTCATGTCCCGTCAGCAGTGCAGGGGAAAACTAAAAGCGGTGAGGTTGTGACAGAGGCAGTGCCCCTGAAGCCACAAAGAAGCAGATCCACCCTGAGCTTGCTTTGTTTTGTTTCTTCTCTTGACTGGTCTTGTGACCGCTTGTTGTGTTCGTTATTCCCCACTTCGCCTATGGGGGTGTGCCAAAATAGCTTATATGTTGTGTAGGGTGTAGTGGGGTAGACTGTACTGAGTACAACCCATTAGGGTTAGCTCTACTTGTACTCCTCACTCATGCTAGTGCACCTCATTCCGCTGTATTGATTTTGACATGCGTGGCAGTTGACTTGTTGACGGGACGAAAGGGCGGAGAAGGCTGGTGTGGAAGGACGTGATGACGTACGAGTCGGCGGGCATGAGGAGGTAGGCATTTACGGTGGTTATCATGTGGCTGATCCGAAATGGCCCGCGGTATCTCGGACATAATTTTGGGATGATGGCAGGCGGAGGTTTTGGGCGTCAAGAAGAGCGAGATTGTTGGTCTGATAAGTGACTGGGCGTCGGTGGCGATTGGCGTAGCGCTTAGCGATGATGCTTGCCTTTTTCATAACATCTGCTGCTTGGGTCCGGGCTGCTTGTAAAATTTCAGCGAACTGCTGCGCACATGGGACATGGTTGTTATAGTTCGGGGTCATGGGTACTGTAGGGTTCTGTCCGTAGTTGAGATTGACTGTTGGGTGGTGGCGGATGTGGAGTTGTTGTACGCGGATTTGATGAGTGGCAACTGTTGCTCCCATGTTGCCGGGTCGTCGCACGTGGCTCGAATTAACTGTTCAATGGTCTGATTGGTGCGCTCTGTTTGACCGTCGGTTTCGGGGTGGTACGATGAACTTAACTGAATGTTCCGCCAAGAGTTGATGGTGAATTTCGTATCGCGGTCGCTGATGATCGCCGCTGGTATCCCGTGGAGTCGAACGACGGTGGCGATGAAGAGTCGGGCTGTTTCTTCGGCTAAGGTTGATTTCTTGCAGGCTGCGGAATTGGCCATTTTCGTCAGCCGATCGACGACCACGAGGATCGCTGTTATAGTCACAATAGGCTTGAATGTGCCTAAAACGAAAGATAGAGAGCACAGACGGATTTCTGCACAGCGGCTTCAAACGTTGGTAGCGTTCTGCTCACAGCTGCAAATGACTTGATTCAAATTGGATCTGGAGCGTCTTTACGTCGTCTACAATTAGCAATTTAGATTGCACGATTTAATAAAGAATTGACGACACAGCGTCGGTTTGAACGAACGGTACTGTGGCAGCCACTATAGTCTTAGAACACAAGATAGGAAGAGTTACGAGTTGGGAATGACTCCCAGCTCCTACAAACCCCAAGAGCCGAGGTACAGTGATGTGGAACAGTGCCACACTGTCCCCAACCACGAAGGGTCTCGAAACTGTTGGTGCAACCCTACGGTTTGCACTCGGCTTGTTGTCCGTGTGCGTGAATGTTTGTGTGTATGGAATGGTATGAGGGCATGGGATAATATATATTTCATGCTTATAATTGTGTGTGAATGTTGAGTCATGATGTCGAGTGTGTGTGTCGAGTCAATAGCGAGTTATCGCTAGACGCGTGTTACGCGGTCGTTTGTGTCTCGCGCGCGGTTTCTATTTTGTCGTGCGCGGTTTCTATTTTGTCCTGTGTCGAACGTTCGGCGTGTCGCAGGTGTGTGCAGCAGACCCATCAAGAACTCAAGGATGAGTTTGTGATGAAGAGCCCGAGCCTTGGTGTCAAGCCTCAAGTGATTTCGAAGCTCGCAAAAAGGGTACACCTCAAGATATTGAAGATAGTTACATTACTTTGTGTAGTGTAACATTTCACTTGGTGTAGGCCCTAGTGAAGTGTAGTTTCGAGACCCTTCGTGGTTGGGGACAGTGTGGCACTGTTCCACATCACTGTACCTCGGCTCTTGGGGTTTGTAGGAGCTGGGAGTCATTCCCAACTCGTAACTCTTCCTATCTTGTGTTCTAAGACTATAGTGGCTGCCATAGTACCGTTCGTTCAAACCGACGCTGTGTCGTCAATTCTTTATCAAATCGTGCAATCTAAATTGCTAATTGTAGAAGACGTGAAGACGCTCCAGATCCAATTTGAATCAAGTCATTTGCAGCTGTGAGCAGAACGCTATCAACGTTTGAAGCCGCTGTGCAGAAATCCGTCTGTGCTCTCTATCTTTCGTTTTAGGCACATTCAAGCCTATTGTGACTATAACAAGTGGTATCAGAGCCCCTTGGAGCAGTTTCGACAATGTCTGGACCTGAGGAAAGGGGTGGCAGAGGTGCTGGTGGCAGTGGAGAAGCTCAAGCTCAAGGCCAACCCCGTGATTCAGCCATGGCGCCCATGCAACCAAGTCTTGGCCCACCTAGGGATGAGCCTAGGGTGTTTGGGCTTGACAAGTTCAACGGTGACAACTTTGCTGAATGGTCCTTCAAGATGGAGAACATCTTCGACCACTATGACCTGCTGGAGGTGATGGAAGGAACGGAGAAGCGCCCCGAGAACGACCCGGAGAAGTGCCCGTGGGTGCGGAAGAGCGCACAAGGCTATCTCTTACTTGGGCAAGCGTTGGGGAGCAGTCAGATCCGTCACATCAAGCCATTCCAGCGTGAACCAGAGAAAGGACCAAAGGCATGGGCTGCTCTCAAGGGTGTACATGCTCCTGCAACAGCGGCGGTAGCGGTGGTGTTGGAACGGCAAATGGCGGCACTACGAATTGAAGAAGACGAAGCGGTTGAAGAAGGGGTGCAGAAATTCTTCGACTTGTTGACGCGGCTTGAGGGAGCTGATTTGAACTACAGTGAGCTCCAAAAGAAGACCAAGTTGCTGGCCTTACTCCCAGAGTCATGGTCCTCGCTCATCATCAACCTTAATCGCGACTTGCCCCGCCTCTCGCTTGAAGACGTGAAGCGAGCTATCCTTCAAGAGGATTTCCGCCGCCGTGAGTTGGCGAGTGCGGATGGCGCTGGGGCAGCGAGCATCGGCCGTGGATATGGTCGAGGAAGAGGCAGAGGACGAGGGGGAGGAAGGTTTGGTGGCAGCAACTTCGGCGGAGGCCGCAGGAGTGGCGGTTACGGCAGCGACGACAAGAGCTACGGACGCGGTCGCGGCCGATTCGACGGCGAGTGTCACTATTGCCACAAGAGCGGACACATGTGGCGCGACTGCTACAAACTCCCTGATGGTTGGACCCCTGCTCAAGGCCAAGAGGGTAGAGGAGCAGGAGGAGGGAGAGGACGAGGCCGTGGAGGCCGTGGCGGTCGCGGTGGCGGAGCTGCAAACATGAAGAGCGGAGACAACGACAAGGACCCGAGCGACGATCGATACCCGGGTCTATTCTACTTCGTGTCGACGCAAGTACCGGCTGGTCCAGAGAAGGATGAAGGCTTTGAGGAGCCAGCAGCTGTGGGGAAGGTGACCCTACACCCCCTGGACTATTGGGTGATTGATAGTGGCGCTACCTATAGCATGACACCTCGCCCGGACTTGCTCACCGAACTCGAGCCGTCACCGGTGAAGCATGTCACATCGGCTTTGGGGCAGCGAGCAGAGGTGAAAGGCATGGGCAAGGCCATGTTCAAGGGTGCTGATGGGAAGATGGTGGGCCTCAAGAACGTGCTTTGGGTGCCCAGCCTTGCTGCAAACCTGATTTCCGTGCGGCGGTTGGCAAAGGCCGGCATGGACACGAACTCGAAGGGAGCCAAGACCTACACCGCAAGGCTTGGCGATCGAATTCTTTGGGACCTTCATGAGGACAGGGATGTCTACAACGAGATGTGGCAGATCCCAGTGGTCCCTATGCCTAAGGAGAGGCAAGTGGCAGCAAGCATCAGCACCAAGGATGGAGCGGTCGGTAGCGACGATGGCGCGAACGGTCGCGCTAAGGAGAATGAGCTCAAGAAGAGCAAACCTGGAGGGACCAGCAAGTTCAGTGAACCTAAGGAGAGTGGTGCAGCAACCAAGGAGCAGAAAAAGGGTGAGGAGAACCCAGAGGCAGCAGCGGAGGAGGACTACGGAGGGAGTATGTGGGGCGCTATTGCGAGCGCGGCAT